CCTCCTCCTCCCGATCGTCACCACCCACTCTGTTTCCCTGCAGGGGCTGGTGGCCTACGTTCCGCAGCAGGCGTGGATCCAGAACTCCACTCTGAGAGAAAACATCGTGTTTGGACATGAGGTGAAAGAAAACTGGTACCAGCAGATCCTGGAGGCCTGTGCCCTCCAGCCTGACCTGGAGATCCTTCCTGCTGGAGACGAGACGGAGATTGGAGAGAAGGTGTGGAACTGGGATGGTTTAATTTTTTTTTCTTTGAATCTCTCATAAAGTACTTAATATTTGAGGGCAGGTTCTACCAAATATTCGTCAACATTTGTGATGTCCGGGTAGGTAAAAGGTTGCGTAGATTTACTGCATTCCTTTGACGTACGGATGTCGCAGTCATTTTATCTGTTTTTCCCAGGGTTCATTTAACTGTCGGAATCTGGGAAAATGATTAGGCTGTCGATCTGTTAAGGTTTTTTAATCTGATTTGATACTTCTCACATACTTAAATTAAATAAATCTTTTGCTACTTTACATTTACTCTTGTATAAACTAAATGTTTATACTTGTATTTTTGATTACACCTTATTCTGTCTTATTTTGGTATTTTATCTGAATTCTTTTCCCCAACTGTCACAGTGATTTTAGAAAAATAAATTAAAACAACACTCGTCTGAGTGAACGTCTCTGCTCTGTCCAGGGAGTGAACCTGTCTGGAGGTCAGAAGCAGAGGGTGAGCTTGGCCAGAGCGGTGTACTGTGACCGGGCCGTGTACCTGCTGGACGACCCCCTGTCTGCCGTGGACGCTCACGTGGGGAAACACATCTTTGAACAAGTGATTGGTCCACAGGGTCTGCTGAAGGACAAGGTCGGTGTCCCGGCAGAGTCTTGGTTTGTGTTTGTCTTCTTAGGTCTCAGACTGACTCTGACTCTGTGCAGACCCGTGTGCTGGTGACCCACGGCCTGAGCTACCTGCCCCAGGTGGACCTGATCCTGGTGTTGGTGGAGGGAGAGATCACAGAGATGGGCTCCTATCAGCAGCTCATGGACAGAGATGGCGCCTTCGCCGAGTTCCAGCGCACGTATGCCGCTGTGGACAACACGCACACCAGCGGTGAGACAACACGTTCACGTCGACTGTGTCTGAGCTGAAACGTTGTAGTGGTTCAGTGGTGAAGTGTAGTTCACTGTTGTATCTCACTTTGATTAGAGTCTTTGCCAAAGAGTGAAACCAAAGGAAAAGAAAACGGGGAAGTGACCGGTGTTGATGGGTGAGTAGAAGAAGAAAAAAAATCCTGAACTCCTAAAGAAAGATTTAAAGAAGGAAGAATGAAAGAAAGAAAACTGTTCTGTCTGTTTGTAAACAGCGCCGCAGATGTGACACAAAAGTCACCGCCGCTGCAGGAAGACAAGGAGCTGAACAAGAACTCCAAGAACCCTGAGCTGGGCAAGCTGACGGAGGCTGACAAGGCCTCCACCGGTCAGGTGGGTGGAGCCTGACTGTGACCTCAGAGTGACCTCAGAGTGACCTCAGCACCACAGTAGAATGCCGTTATATTCACCCTCTGCATGTTTCTGGTAGAAGAGGAGTTTTTTTCTCCAGACTTCTTGAAGTCGTAGTCACAGACCACACCCTCTCCCCCTTTACTCCCCCTTTACTCCCCCCTTCACACAGGTCAAACTCTCCGTGTTCTGGGCCTATATAAAGGCCATCGGCTCCTTCCTCACCTTCTTCAGTTTCCTGCTCTTCCTCACCCATCACTCCCTCTCCCTCTTCTCCAACTACTGGCTGAGCTTCTGGACCGACGACCCGGTGATCAACGGCACTCAGCCGTACAGACAGAGGAGACTCCTGGTGTATGGGGCCCTGGGCGTGTCCCAAGGTGAGGAGGGGCTCATTATTATTTGGTAAAAAAAAAAAAGTCTTTCTTTGCGTCACTGACCTCTGCCCTCTGTGGCAGGTGTGGCCGTCTTCGGTTACTCCCTGGCCATGTCCATCGGGGGGATCCTGGCGTCGCGTTTCCTTCACCAGTCCCTGCTGTTTGACATCCTGCGTTCACCCATGTCCTTCTTCGAGCGGACGCCCAGTGGCAACCTGGTCAACCGCTTTTCCAAGGAGATGGACACCATTGACTCGATGATCCCCAACATAATCAAGATGTTCATGGGTTCGATGTTCAACGTGATGAGCGCTTGTATCGTCATCCTCATCGCCACACCACTGGTGGCCATCTTCATTCCCTTCCTGGGCCTGCTCTACTTCTTCGTGCAGGTTGGTGGAACATCCTCTCAGGAGGTCCAGGAAGCGCATTCAGGAAGCGACCTTTGACCTGTGGTCTCTGCTCTGTGTTTGTCCAGAGGTTTTACGTGTCGTCCTCTCGTCAACTGAAGCGTCTGGAGTCGGTCAGCCGCTCGCCCATCTACTCTCACTTCAATGAAACGCTGTTGGGCACCTCCGTGATCCGAGCCTTCGGAGAACAGAAGCGCTTCATCTCTGAGAGTGACCACAGGGTGGACCACAATCACCAGGCGCACTACCCCAGCATTGCAGCCAACAGGTCAGGGCTCTGCTCGGTTAAGGGGGGTGCAGTTGTGGGTTCGAGTTCAGACTTGATATTTTATATGCCCCTTTCCCGAGGGAGACTGTTTAAGTGTGGTTACAAGTCACCAGCAGGGGGCGCCTACGACGTTGAGAGTGTGTCAGAAAAACCTTCAAAAAAAAAATCACCCACCTTTTAAAGGCAGGATAAAACATTGGTCTAACAAATGAAACCTTGTCTCTGACTCTGCCGTTGACGTCATTTCTAAATCACTCTGTGATCAAACGTGTCTTTTTAGGTGGCTGGCAATTCGTCTGGAGTTTGTAGGAAACTGCATCGTGTCAGCGGCCGCTCTGTTTGCTGTCGTAGCCAGAGACAGTCTGAGTCCTGGCCTCGTGGGTCTGTCCATCTCCTACGCCCTTCAGGTAAACACTGACCACAACTGACCACCAAATGTCCACAGAGTTTAAATAAACTTATAATAATAATTTTAAAAAAATTAAATAATAATACTACTGCTGATAATAATAATAATAATTTTTAAAAATAATAAAAAATAATAGTAGTTATTATTATTATGTTATTGTTATCATTATAATGCAGTGCTGGGCAACAATAATGAACCAATTCTCTTTACCGCTGCCAGTGTGTTTGTAAAGTGACGTGACTGAACTTTTTCTTCTCCGCTCCACTCCACTGTTCCAGCTGACTGCTTCTCTGAACTGGCTGGTGAGGATGTCCTCAGACGTGGAGACCAACATCGTGGCCGTGGAGAAGGTCAGGGAGTACCATGACACGGAGAAGGAGGTGAAGACCAACGACTCTTCTGTGGAACCACACCTGAGTAGAGATTAAAAAAAAAACAAGGACTTGTTTCTGGAATAACTCCTTTGTCTGACTTATAGGCAGAGTGGAAACATGACTCCTCTGTGCTGCCCCCTGGCTGGCCCACTGAGGGCTGCATAGAGGTCAGAGGGTACGGCCTACGTTACCACCAAGATCTGGACTTGGCCATCCGTAACATCAACATCAGAGTTGATGCAGGAGAGAAGGTTTGTTTGTTTGTTTGTTTGTTTGTTTTTTTCATCTGTCCACTGGAGGCAGTAGTGAGCATTTTCAATAGGAATTCTAGAAAACATTAAACGTTTTTTTTCTTCAATTAGTGCATTCATATATGACTCCTCTCTGTAGGTGGGAATTGTGGGGAGAACGGGAGCAGGAAAATCCTCCCTCACTCTCGGCCTGTTCCGGATCATCGAGGGAGCTGAAGGCCACATCTTCATTGATGGGCTGGACATCGCTCAGCTGGGCCTCCATGACCTCAGGTCCAGAATCACCATCATCCCACAGGTCAGTGAAGAGAGATGAAAATTGATCAGATAACAGATTATTTTGTTTTGCCGTTAGCAAGATGAAAGATTAATCTGCTTGACATAAAAAAAAGTGGGAACCCTGAACAGGACACAGAGGTGACTCACCTGCCCTGACCCCTGACCTCTGACCTAGGTACCACTAATGAGCCTCTCCCCCTGTGTTAGGACCCGGTGCTGTTCTCTGGCTCTCTGAGGATGAACCTGGATCCTTTTGACAGCTACACTGATGACGACGTGTGGCAGGCTCTGGAGTTCTCTCACCTGAAGAACTTTGTGTCGGGTCTGCCCAACAAACTGGCCCACGAGTGCAGTGAGGGAGGAGAGAACCTTAGGTAGGACTCCTGCTGCTGCATCAGCTGATCGGTGATATTTAATTAACATTTAAGTGTAAAAAAAAAAAGAGGGTTGAAAAAAGGACTTCAGATGAGAAGAGGTCTTAGATTTGCACTAATGTCCACTAGGGGGCTTTATCATTTAAAACCATTTGTTGTTTTTGACTGCTCCTCTGTTCTTGCTGTGCAGTGTGGGTCAGCGTCAGCTGGTGTGTCTGGCCAGAGCTCTGCTCAGAAAGACCAAGGTCTTGGTTTTAGACGAGGCCACGGCAGCAGTCGACATGGAGACGGACAATTTGATCCAGTCCACCATCCGCTCTCAGTTTACGGACTGCACTGTCCTGACCATAGCTCATCGCCTGAACACCATCATGGACTACAACAGGTACCATACAGCACAACACACACACACATACCTGAATTTATATATTATGAGTGTAAGTCAGAAAGTCCTCAGACAGATGTCTTGATTTCTGCAGATGTCTAATGTTGACTGACTAAAACCAGTCTCTGTGTCTCCTACAACTTTTTGTAGCAGTTTTATCATCGTACCTGTGCACAGTGTTGAGCTGTGTTTCCTTGGATTTGTTCAGATTTTCATTTAACCCTGTGTAGCAGTTTTATCATCGTACCTGTGCCCATCATACCTTTAACCCTCAAAAATGATGATGGTCTGTTCCTCTCTAACAAGAATAAATCTGAATGCTTCTCTGCCCTCCAGGGTCCTGGTGTTGGACAAGGGAGAGATGGTGGAGTTTGACTCCCCCTCCAATCTCATCAGTCGGAGAGGAGCCTTTTTCCAGATGGCCTTAGATGCTGGTCTGGTCTGAGACTCAGAGTGTGTGTGTCACGTGGCCACCAGTTTCTGGTGTGACTTGGAAGAGGAGGAACAACGTGAATCATTGTTTAAGGCTGTGAGTGACAACAGCTACTGCCAAGACCAGCAGGTTTTTTTTTGTTTGTTTTTGTTTTCAAACACCCTGGGTCCATTCACCCTGAACTACAGATGTTGGTGATTTACTCTCCATATTTCTCTCAGTCTGATTAGAGATGTAGAGGACGGTCTTTTTTCTAGTACAGCAGTGTCACCAGAGGCTTTGTAGCCGTGGAAACCAGCAGTGATGATTTGTTTTTGCGAGTCGTCATCCATCAAAAATCCTTTACATTTTACGTTTATGTTTGGAGTGAGTGCACGTCTCTCTGTTCCGCACCACGGCTTCTTTTTTATAGTTTACATAGACTGGACCGGACACGACTCCCATTTGTTTTTAAACAATCTCTACAGCTGGGCGATCCTGGTCACATGACGTTGGCGTCATGGAGTTCTCACTTCACGAGTGCAAAAGTTAAATGTCTTTTTGATATTTGAAGCAGGTCAGATTTTGTTTTCCTTTCGCTGACCCCTCTCCATGTCAGAGGTACTTCACTCGTATTGCTCTGCTTAACTCGAGTACACCGTGTTCTGTTAGTACCTGTTGTTTCCACAACGTTACTGTCGGTGCATAGGAAAGCAATTCAAGGTCACTTTCGAGGTCACTTTACGGCGTTGTTCTGCTGCTGTTGAGAAGTTTTCTTCTTTCAGCACCTTTTAATTTGTTTTGTATGTACTGTTGCTTTTCTGTGTAGCTGAATGTCCTCTTATTTATACAAATTAAATGTGTTATTTTAAATATGTTGTTCAGACTGTTACAAAACAAAAAATACCCGCACTCTCTGTAAAGCCTTGAATGTGTGGAGATGAACAAATAACAGTTTATTTCTCCAGCAATTCCGAGGTACAGCAAAGAATCTAATCTAAGCTAAAGAATCTAAGCTGCTGTGGGCCAGTGATCCTTGGTGAAGAAATTGTAGTTTAAGGAATTTAGTTACAAACCTCTTGTTGCTTTCTGACTATTTTTTTTATTGCAATGTACACACAGGGACACAATATCTGCAACCCAAATCTGTCAACTCTGTTTCTGTCTGAAATGGTAATGACGGCTCCTACCAATCAAATGTATTTGCTTTAAAAAAAAAAAATATGTGAAATTAAAAATAGTTCATATTTATGACTCCAAAATGAACATATGTTTTATAAATACTGCTTTGTTCTGTAGATTGAAATTTGAAATAAAGGCACATATTGAAAATATGAAATTGTGGTTTTTTGTTTGTTTTTTTTACTGTAACTGCTGTGGAGTTTTTAAAGTTTTCAATAAACGTATGTGAAAATTTCAGTGTTTCTCTGTTTTCTGTCCAATTTCTGTCTTCTGATTAGGGTTAAGGGTATTTTACCTAGAAACCTAAATACATCGCTGTCGTCAGGAATCGTATCAAGATATTTTTATTATTGAAATAAAAAAAAATGTTTCAAAGATAATCGTTTGTGTTGGCTACGGTAGTCCCATTTGTAGGCGGTAGGATGCAACATTACCAAACGGAACATAGCGGCAGTGCAGGCAAGGAAGTACGTCACTCCTGCGGCACGCTTTAGGACTACGTATCCCAGAGTTCCTTGTTGTCCGCCGGTCCGGTCTAAGGAAAAAAAAAAGATGGCGGCCGTTGATTGACTGGTGCCGCTGCTACTGCGCCTTCAAACGTCTGTAAAGTCCTCAAAAGCGGGTCAAGGCGCCCGGTTAATGTGTCACATCGAGGCAGCAGCAAACAGGAGACGAAGGCAGCGATTCCAGACTGGCAGAAGGTTTTAAGGTATGTGTTTAATGCGCGGTTCCTCCTGCTGCTTTTTGCTGCCCAGCACACTAGCAGCTAGCTGGCTAACTAGGAGACATATCTTTACACTGTGTGCATAGTCGTTAGTAGATTCATGGGGTCTTGAGTTTAGTGATGTAATAAAGTAAAATAACAGGGCTTTTGTAGTGAGTTGGCGAGTAGTGTTGAGTCGGAGAGTCAGAGGCTAAAAGGCGTTAAAGCAAATCACAGACAAGCTGAGATTGAGTTCCAACAACAACAACAATAACAATAACAACAGCTCCCGTTTCCTCCTGAATCCTTTCACCAGTGTTCAGAGGAGACGCCGGTGTCAGAATAACTGTGTCCTGTGTGTTAACAATGCTGTACACAGTCCACAGACACCAGACACCCAAACATGTCATGTGATACAATAACACAGGTTTCATCACATTTTAATGCACGACGAGGATTAAAAACATTTAAGTGGTTGGATGAGGTCAGTTGTGTTTTAAAGAAATTAGTTTATTTATTTAAAAAAATACTCATTTAATCTCCAGATGCCTTGAATTCTTGGGTACTAATTCTTTTGCTGCCATGTCAGTTATGTTTGATAGAAGACAGGTGGTTTATGCCATCACATCACAAAGACATTTGAACCATTTTGAGATACGATTCTTGGTGTGACTGTGATCGTAACATTAATTTGTCCTGTTCTTTCTGCTAGGTCCATTCCTGGATTGCTTCCAAACACCACCGTTTGGATATTTTATCACCAGTTCATCTGGCTCATGGACTTGAGTTCATTACTGGGCTCACTCACTCCTCTTCCTCGCATCAGTGTCAGTGTCAGGAGCCCTCACCCCCCGAACTTCACCCTGTACAGATTTGATGTCACGCCTGTCTGTTCTTCCTCTTTATGAGTCACTTCCTTAACCAGGGTGTCCTTCACCTTTCTCCACCCACAAGTGCGATCTCGGAACATTAGCACGCAGCATCACCTTTGATTTTTTCTCTTCTGCTCCAGTGAAGCAACTGGGAGTTGTGAGAAAAAGGGCGAGGAAGGGGAGATGTATGATCCGTTTCATCCTACTGGCGGAGACAAGGAGATAAAGATGGAGGTGGAGCAGGATGAAGGAGAGAAATACGACCCCTTTGACCCAACTGGTTCCCCTGCATCGGAAATTGATGACGAGGCTGATGTACCGAGTGGGATGAAGAAAGAGCCTGAGAGGAGGGATGAAGAGGAAGATCCTCCAGATTCTACTGACACTTTGAATGATCTGCCAAACCCTTGTCTAGTGACACAGCTACCTCTAGTGAGGAGAGTGGGCTGCAGAAGCACCAAGAGCAGAGAAAAGAGGGACAGTGCTGACTCTGACCACTCAGAGATAGAGGAAGGAGAGATAGTTGGTGCTGCTGACAGGGATGCTAACATTAAGAGAACTGCTGCGGAGTCTCTCACCCTGGGTTCTCCCACTGTCTCCTTTTTTGGATCAAAACCTGAACGTATCCTCCGTGTGCTGGATGGAGATGGCTTTGTGTCCGTGTGTGCAGAGGGTAGCTGGGATGTGAATCAAGATGACGATGAACCTGTGGTCGGAGTGGAAGACCTAAGACGGAAGCTGGTCAGCAAGCGAAAGGAAAGGTACCTTTCCTTCCCTGCGTCTTCCTCACTCTCTCCACAGCAGCCGCCACCTCCTACACATCCACCTGCATCTACGACTTCTTCTCCTCTCAGACCTACTGTAGAAAAAGACGTCCAGGACCACAAATCCAAAGGTTCCAAGGAACGAGACAAACAAAAAGGTAAAGACAAGAAGGCAGGGGAAAGGGAGGAGAGGAGAAAAAAGAGGAAAAAGGAGAAGGAGGGAGGCCATGAGAAGAGAATAGAAAAGGAGAAAGGGCACACCACAGAGAAGCAGGACAAGCAAAGGAGCAGGAGCAGCAGCCAGAAGAGGAAGAAAAGACGACACAGTAGTCCAGATGTGTCACGCACGCTCAACTCTTCAGTCAGAGGAACGCACACAAGACGCTCATTTTCAAGTCTATCCGAAGAACAGCATCGGGATAAAGACAGAGAGAGAGGAAGGGAGAAGGAAAGGGAAAAAGAGAGGGAGAGAGAAAGAGAGAGGGAGAGGGAACAGAGTCATGGCCATAAAAGAGATGATAGAGATCGAGCTTCTAGCTCCAAGAAGGAGAGGGAAAGAAAGGAAAAACACCATTCAAGCAGCAGAGAAAGACACATTTCAAAGAGATCCAAAAGAAGCAAGGAAAAAAGGGAATGTGATCGAGATCGGCACCATGACAGAGACTGGAGACGAGATGGGCGTCCTGTTGTCCCACCTTCTATTCAGGATCTCAATGGCTCTGACCTTTTTGCCATAAAGCGAACCATTACAGTCACCACCACCACAACCACCACCACTGTTCCTGGCTCCCCAAGACTTGCCCCAAACTCGCCCTGTCGGCCCTCACAGGACTCTGACAAACCGTACAAAAGAAAGAAGAAGAGAAAGTGGCACTCGGAGGAAAACAGGAGAGTTAGCCGAAGTAAGTCACGCTCACCACCGTTGTTTCACAGCTATGAGTCGGATCGCTATTCAGACAAATTAGAAATTGACATGTTGTCCTTGGATGGCGAGGCTTTAGACTCAGATTACCCATCTTTGGAGGACACGCCCCCTGCACCTCCCCCTCCAGAGCCACCTGCTCCTAGCCCAAAATCCAAAACAGTCACAAAGCCAGGTAGACACCACCCAAAAAAGAAGTCCCGCACAGTGAAGAAAGTCAGCCAGGCTGAGTCACATTCATCTTCCAACAGGACCAAAAATAAATGTCTCTCCTCACTGATGGTGACTTCAGAACCTTCCTCAGTCTCGTCAGGTCTCTCCTCCGTAAAGCGAGCCAAGAAAGTGGGAAAGGACAAAGTCCCAGATAAAACCAGTAGAAAGGATCCGAGCCGCTCTAACAAAACCAAGAAAGAAGGTGGGAGCGGGCGGAAAGGAAAGCTCCAGTCCAAGGTGTCTGTGCTGGTACGTGAGGGCGTGAGCAGTACCACGGGGGCTTCAGTTGGCTCGGGAAAACTTGGCATGGATCTTCTGGGGTCAGGAGGTACAGGAGGAGGTCCAGGGGGCTCCGTGGTGGGGGGCTCTATTGCAGTTGTTTTTTGCAGAGACAATGAAAGTAGGTCTCCGTTCCTCAAGCCTTGCTCAGAGCCATTGTCCCTGACCGGACGTGGTAAAGATCTGTCCAGTATGGGGAAGCGGAGCAGCCTGGCTGGACCACCGTCCTCCTTAAATAGTCCTGCAGCTTTGAAATCCAAAAAAACAAAACCTAGCTCCATCACATCAACCTCCTCTTCTGCCTCCTCCCCCTCCTCATCTTTGGCAACTAAACGCCGCCGACGCCTGGCCAAGAAGACCAGGCAAAAAGCCGGAGCTTCAGGGTTACCGGTTGTAGATGGCAGCCAGACCACCGTCATGTCTGAGAGCTGGGGCGGAGCCTCCCTGGATGTTAAGTCCTCTGTCGGTGATGGCAGCAAAGTGGTCAGTCCGCACATTTGTCCAGCTGTTACTGCACCCTGTTCTTCCTCCTCTTCCTCCTCCTCCACCAGTGTTCTCCCACCCTCCTCTTCTCCGCCACACACGCCTCCACCGTCTGTGCCTCCTTCACGGGACACCAGAGATTCTTCACCAGATTCACAGACAGTGGACAGCAGCTGTAAGACTCCAGAGCCTTGTTTCCCATCTGAGGACTGTCCGTCACAGACCAGTCCCACACTCCCGATGTCCAGTCCGTCTTGTCTGTCCACCGCCCAAGGACCTGGACTCGGCTTGACCTTGTCTACATCCACAGTCAAAGCTCCTCCTCCAGACGACACTCCCAAACTCCTGGTCTCACCATCTTCCTCGTCCTCTTTGGCTGGCTGTGGTCTCTCGTCTCTTTCTCTTCCTTTGTCTTCATCAGATCCGTCCTCCTCCTCCGTGTCCTCTTCCTCTGTTCTTAAGCCTCCTCTCCCTCCACCTCCAGCAGCTCCTGTTCTTCCCTGGAGTTTGCAAACTGGCGTAGACTGCACAACGGGAGGCGTCCTGGCCTGTGAGTGTCTTCAACATGTGTTCATTAGTCTGCCACGTTTTTATTATAAATCAATGTCCAGTTGATGTCACAGTAGCCAAATAGGTGGTTTCAGATAACTATCCTAAAGAAATTAGAAACGTTATTGTCCCTTTTTTTGATTGTTTAGCCGTGAAGCAGGCACCAAAATCCAGTTTCAGTGTTACAGTGTTCTCTTGTTTTTTTGGGGGGCTCAGTGACTGCTCTACTGTTTAAAATGGAGGAGGCCAACATCACCAACAGAGCCAAGGCACAAGAGTTTATTCAAGCAACCAACCAGGTGAGTGAGTGACCGTGGCCCTAATACTGGTGGCCTTTGATATATGATAGAAATGATGCACTGCACCTTTAATTGATTTGGGTTAAATTGGGTCTGACTGTCACTCCCTGCTGTCTTTTAATGTAGATCCTCTCCCAGGCCAATCAGAGCCAGTCTCTTGAACCACCCCCCTCGGCGGCCTCCTCGTCCTCACAAATCCCAGCTCCCTCGCTGCCTCCTCCTCCTCCTCCCCCTCCAGGGCTCAGTCCAACTCAGTTCATCCTCCACAGCTCCCTCCCGTTGGTTGGCTGCACCAAAACTCCACCCTCTCACCTGCACCCGTCCATAGGTGGTGGCTGTGTGCAGACGCCACCACCGATCATACCGGTGGGGCTTTCAGGAGTGACTGGGAGCTCTGGGGACACTGGGTGGGACAGTGAGACCAAAGACCCCGACAAGGTAACAATTCATCACAAGTTAAGTCACACCAAAATAGACAATCTGTCTAATGTCTATTTTTATCTCATAGTATCTAAAAAAGCTGCACACCCAGGAGCGAGCAGTGGAGGAGGTGAAACTTGCCATCAAACCTTATTATCAACGCAAAGACATCAACAAGGACGAGTACAAAGACATCCTCAGGAAAGCAGTGCATAAGGTACAGACTCACCATCAGTGATAGAGCCTGATGGTAATTGCATATCCTCAGTGGTGTTAATGGTGATGTGTTATGTTGTCGGACCAAACAGATACTTACTGACTGACATCACTCTGTGTCTCTGATGTACAGATCTGCCACAGCCGCACTGGAGAAATAAACCCAGTTAAAGTCAGCAACCTAGTGAAATTATATGTCCAGCGTTACAAGTACTTCCGGAAACACGGACGCAAAATGGATGACGAAGAAAGGAACGACAGGGAAATGGGAGCCCTGCATTCATCTGCATGAGAGACTTTTTTACTAATTCCTCTCCCGATGAGAGACTTTTTTACTAATTCCTCTCACCTTCCTCTCACCTTCAGCTCCAGACCTGGTCTTTGCTCTGAGTTTTTTGTGTGATATTTTCTTGCTTTCCTTCATAGCCCATACCCTTTATGTGTTTATCTAATGGTTATCCCTTTTCTTGTCTCTGATCACAATGTAAATATGTCTTACTTATAAATGTATCATGTACAATGCTGAGGATGCACACTTTTATCATGGACAAGTGTGTTATCAAAAAGTCCACTACAGTGACCATGCAATAAAACACCACCTTTCTGAAAACACTGACTGGAGATACTCTAATCTGTCACCTGCATCACACACCGTATATTTATTTGCAGGGTAATTTATTTATTTATTTATTTATTTATTTTTTGCAGTAATATTTTAAGTGTGGGTGGAAATGAACATCAATCTGAAAAGTTGTTCCTATTTTTTGAACCTCTTGTTTGTTTTATTTGTACGTTGAGAAAGTTGCAGAATGGCTTCATAAAGTTATTTTTTATTTGTTTTTTTGGAAGGTTAAAGGTGGTAAAAACTTTACGTTTCAGAAGGGAAACGTGAAAGTTGGCAGGATAAGAGAGGAATTACTCTGCTCTCAGGAGATAGTTGTGGCGGTACGTGGTATTAAATGGCAAGCGCTAATGAATAAATAATTTAATATTTAGTATTGTTAAGTACATTGATAGCATACTTAAAATGATTTTACATAGTGTACCTTTAACACCGGCGTGTGACGTCTGCCACAAAGACGTTTTTAATGTGTGTACGCATGCGCACGTTACACTGCTCGTCTTTTGCGACAACACACGCTCCTATACGGCAACCCGCCATTTTATTACTGAGGAACAGAAGAAACTTGCACGCATTCAGTGGATCTGCGGCCTTTAGCTGTTGAATTGCTTTAGTGGATTCTTTTTCCTGTATTGACTGTTTTCCAACAATTAGCAGGCCTTGCTAATTGTTGACAAGCGTATAGTGTGCGCTTTCTTTTGTCCGGCTCATGGTGTGACGTTCATCAAATATTGGAGGAGAGAAGGTAAGAGTTGTAGCCGAGGCTTATTGTTAGCAAATTAGCATCTTGACTTTAGTGTGTATAGATTAAGAAGCGTGTCTAAATTAAGAAAATCGAAGTGTGAAGCTGTACTAGTCTGTTGTATTTATTACGTTAGAGTCGCCTGTTATTAAACGACACCCTCGCGTAGTTTCTGCTTCTATATAGCCACATGGCAGTAGCGGTGAAACGTTAGCTTACGAAGCTACCATCGGTTTCCGGAAGTTTCTGACTGACGTTAATAACCCGTGTCTTTTCCAGGTGAAAGATGACCCAGTTTCTCCCCCCGAACCTGTTGGCCCTTTTTGCGCCGCGGGACCCAATTCCCTTTTTGCCTCAGCTGGAAAAACTTCCCCATGAAAAACATCACAACCAGCCTTACTGTGGCATTGCGCCATTCATCAGGCACTTCGAGGTAAACAATTAATAACTTTATTTAATGAATTTGTGTATGTGTTTTAACAGATTCTTTGGTGAGTCATAAATTGTGCTATCATCTCTTTGATCAGGATCCAAGAGATGCCCCTCCACCGACACGGGCAGAGACACGGGAGGAGCGGCTTGAGAGAAAGGTAAATAAGGCGGCACACAGGCGTTGATCTTTTGGTAATTAAACTGCGTTGTGTAACATTCAACAAAAGTTCTCAAGGTGAAAAGCATTCTTCCTATATTCCAGGAGGGTGTAAACTGCGTTGTGTAACATTCAACAAATGTTCTCAAGGTGAAAAGCATTCTTCATATATTCCAGAAGGTGGTCATATGGTCATAATGTAGTTATGCAATGCTTTAAAATGTTTTCTAGGTGTAGATTGATCAACCACTTAACTGATTGTCTGTTTAGCCACCATGTGTACTGTATATTACAAGCAAGTGACATGTGCAGCCAAATTAAACTAGACCAGACCGGCTTGTAGAAAGGATCCAAATGCCTGGCTGGTTTTTAATTAACTAGCTAAACTTGCATTTGCAGAGAAGGGAGAAGATTGAAAGGAGGCAGTCAGTGCTGGAGACAGAACTCAACCTTTGTAAGTATTTTTCACCAATGCATACAATATATAATTTTCTGTATTCTTACTAATTTTCTTTTACTTTGCATTATGAAAAGGGGACCCCCATAATGACCCTAATGCACAAGGGGATGCATTCAAGACGTTGTTTGTCGCACGAGTGGTGAGTCTTCAATCTTTTCAATTCATTTGTGTGGGTCACAGAGTTGTTGGTCATGTATGATGCCTGACTCAATCTTTTCAATTCATTTGTGTGGGTATGTATGATGTCTGATGTGTGTGTTCTTCGTTGTATTCCAGAACTACGATACGACAGAGTCCAAGCTTCGACGTGAATTTGAGGTCTACGGCCCCATTAAAAGGGTATGATCAGCTGCTCTTTCTAACGTCTTAGTGTCTTGTATGTTGTGTGTTTGACACTTGCTGCTAGGAGTCTAATTCCAGGCAATGTTGTTCATTTGTTTTAGATTTACATAGTCTACAACAAGAAGACGGGGAAGCCTCGTGGTTACGCATTTATCGAGTACGAGCACGAACGAGACATGCACTGTGAGTACAACAATAGAAGGCTGAACCGTAAGCATCCTGTTTTTTGTAACATTTAAGGAGCGGTCTGTGGAGTGGAGGGCAGTTCTTTCAGGTGTGCCGTAACTGCCCTGTTCTGTATCCATGCTATTTAAGGATGAGTGTGGCCAACTGTTGACAACTTAGCCGATTTGCCTCATGAAAACTCCACGTCATGGCCTTCAGAGTTGTCTTAGCTCTTGATGCCGATGTGCCTTTTACGGTTTGCATGCAACAGTTTTTGTGGTTGTGTGTCTGTGTTTGGTGCGTGGTGGATGGCTGACGAGACGATGCTTCATTCAGTGGGGCATTACTGGTAAAGTGGAAATACCACGTTGTAGAAGTGTTGCTACTGTGACCCTGACCCTCTTTGCCTGTTAAGGCCAAACTGTCTTTTAACTGTTAGGTGTTGTAGTTCTGGGGAAGAGCAGCTCTCCTGGTTGGACTTAAATGGTAAGCACAAGGTCAGACTGGTCACTCAACACCCACCATATGTGTCAAGGACTGTTTGAAAGCCAAACCTTTTATATAAAAAAAAAATTAAATCATTTAGCTTGTTGAAGTATGTTTATGTAGTGGTCCTCAACCCTGGTCATGGTGAGACTAGAGCATCTTTAGCACAGTACTGAGATTTTATTTTACTGGGTGGGGATGCCACAGTCTTAAATAGAGAAACAACTAGGTTTGAGTGTTGACACCATTCCAGGTCATTCATGGTGATCAGCTCTTCAGGACCAGTGTTGCTGAATCACAGCGGGGGAGGGGTGAAGTGAGGGGGAATGTGGGGCTAAATAGTATATTAACTGTGTGTTGTTTTCATTGCCACTGCAGCCGCCAATCTGTGATGGCTAATGGCCAGAGCTGGCTGGCAGATGATGATGGTTATGATACATCTACACCCTACTACCACAGCTCAGTATATGGTTGGTATAATGGGTTTGTATGATGGGTAAGATTTCTTTCCACCCTCCATAAATACATAGGGCAGAACAGGAACATCAGTGCAGACCTCAAAGAGCTTTCAGTCAATGACTTAAGTTTCTCAGGCCCTGTCCATTGAACACACGCCTAATGATTCCCAAGGTTTCTGCCCTTTCTGTTAAAGCCACTGCAGTTTGCGCGCAGAGCTTTTTGGGATAAACTGGCCTTCGTTAACGTCAGCAACGTTCTTAACAGATTCTGGGGTGCTTGTCTTAGTTTGAATGCAGACCAGAGGGTCCTTGGTGTCCAAGCACTTGGGCGGTTCTCAGTCTTGGTGGATTAACATTGTTCGTTCATGACAATTGTGTCTAGAACGACGTTTCGTTTAACAGTAATACACGGCGTATGAAAATTATTCCAGGGAGTGTGGAGCAGCTGTGTTGCGTCCACTTCGATTTTTATTTTTTTTATCTTTTAGATTAAGTAGAGCTCAAATCTTTGGTTCGCATGACCTTAAAGCTACATTCTCTGAGACTGAGAAATGCTATGATCTCTAATCATTTGGGGTGGACACTTAATTGTATGGAAGTTGAATCTGTATTTATTTCTCTGCTAAGACCGTGTTCTGAGTGAATTAGCCCGTAGAAGGTTCTAGCAACAGGCCACCGTAAAAACATACGTTTTCTTTTATTCCGTTTTCTACACTTGACTTTTCAGTTAAAGGGAAATCTGAATTAATGGCTGCTTCAACTTTAAAAGAAAAGGCAGACAAGCGGAATCTTACAGAAAGATGGCGGTTATGATGTCACAACAGAGGAGTCATATTCAAACAGCTGTCTTAATTGTTAGGTAGTTCATTTAGTTTCATTCGAAAGAGGAAAAAAAACAACCAAGTATTACACACCCAGATTTCAAATTTAGTGTCAACATTAGTGAGTGTTAGGAGTCAGACGTCACTGATTTTGATTATGTTGAGGGCCACATTAGTTGACTTGTGATGAAGTAACTCCTGTAAGGAAGAATGTGCCATTTCATTTAGTTATGAATTAATCGAGGCTCAGCTTCAGGTGAAAAGGTGGGGATTTGGTAAGGCCCTGTCACTGGTTAGAATGTTGTCATCCCACATGAACAAAGGGAGTGCGGGGTGTTGGTAAGGCCCCTCGTAGAGGTGTGTTGGCAGGATGCGTACTCTGGTTTTGGATGATTTCGGTAAAGTCCCCCCAGCAGGGGCGGAGGCTGTCGTGCAACCTGTCAATGAGGGACGATGGTAAGGTGATAATAACTTGATGGTCATTTTGGTGAGACCCCCCCTTTGTGGTAAATATTTCCTCCCTGGGAGCCAGCGCTACATCAGAGCAGTGTGGTAACCAGCATGAGCTGCCTGGCTCGTTACCGTGGTCTTCAAACCGACAAGATGAACAGGGAGACTGTTGTATGCTGTGTAATCATGTGACTTTGGTAACCTGCTGGAAGATGCTTGTTGATGCAGCAGCACCTTACAGTCTGCTTACATTCTGTTCAGAGGATACTCACAATTGTTTTTTAGCTAACGACGCACACAGGAACATTGAGCAAAATTCAGTGACTGTGAAATTGCGAACCACGTTTTTTCAAATATTTAACAATGAAGAGTAGAAAAAATACTCATCACGCCTAAAATCCTGAGTAAAACACTTTTGTCTGCAAACTACTTAAGATAAAAACCAAAAAAAACTTTAAATATTTTTCATAAAACCTCAAATTTTCAGAATTTAAAATTAACTTTCTACTTTTTGTAATTGTCATTTTGTAGTCACTCTGTGACTAGTCACAGCTTAATTCGTTTTTCTCACATGAACTACAGTATATACATGGACTTCCAACTTCCTGTCAGGTGAAAGGGATGATATGAAAAAACTAAACTTTCACCTGTTCTCTCTGTTCAGTCGTTGACTTTTACAAGGGGAAAAAAGTAATTATGAAAAACTGTTACTAAATGAAAATTTGCTTGTGAGTCAAGTGTGTTAGTTTCACTGTTGTACACCTGACAGGATGGTCACATGACGTTAAATCATCAAAACGTATTTTTCGCTGTAAGTTGGGCCACGGTCGACCGACACAGTAGACATGTGCGAATATTAGAGGTTATCGGTGTTTAACATATCACTCATCGGGTGGAAGGAAGTCTACTCCAAATACCCCTCGGCATTTGCCCAGAGAGCAGCCATCTCGGCCTCACCTGCTCCTGGTCAGTATAATGATGCACCGTTTGTTTCCTAGGCCACGTTATTTCAGTCGCACTTTGATCTCACGCGTGTTTTTCTTTTCCAAATTCCTCTTCTGCAGCCGCCTACAAACATGCAGATGGAAAGAAGATCGACGGTAGGAGGGTGTTGGTGGATGTGGAGCGAGGACGCACCGTCAAAGGATGGCATCCACGCAGGCTGGGTAATGTTGTTAACAAGTTCTATTGATTCACAAAAAAATGTTGTGAAGAGAACATCAGATAATCACTACGTCCAGAGGTGTGTGTACTCTGATGGTGATGAGGGTCAATTCACTTTTATTAAATTTTATTTTCTTTAATAGGTGGAGGTCTGGGTGGTACCAGGAGAGGTGGCGCTGATGTCAACATAAAGCACTCCGGCAGAGACGATGCCTCCCGTTATGACGACCGCCCTGTGGTGGCGTAAGTAGCTCATGAGAGAAGAGGTGTAATTTGTGTTTTTGCGGCAGGTATTTTGCCTTGTATCTCACAGTTTTCTCTTTGTCCCGACGACTCACAGAGAGAGGGAGCGCGGAGAACGTGGGGAGCGCAGAGAGCGCAGCCGGGAACGTGACAGGGACAAAGACAGGGAGCGCAGGAGATCTCGATCCCGGGAACGCCGGCGTCGCACCCGCTCACGGGAGCGTGAAAGAGAACGAGAGAGACCAGCAGGCGAAGAGGGCGGCGGCGGCAACAACAACAACAACACCCCCACCACCAGGAGGAGGGAGCGGGAGAAAGAACGTGGTGGCGCAGGAGGGGGAGACAGCAGGAGGAGGGAAAGGAGCCGAGACAGGAAGAAGAGGAGCAGGAGCCGAGAGCGTAAGAGAGACAGGGACAGGGGTAAGGGGCTGGACGGCGAAGAGGCTGTTCAGGGAGATGGCCCTCACGAGGGCGGAGAGCGAATGCCGGAGGAGCATGAAGGAGAAGGAGGCGGGGGGTTGGAAGGGCGTAGGGACCGAGAC